GAGAGAAGTACCCAAAAGTTTCCACAATGAACGCCAGAAATGGCTTAAGAAACGTGTATCCCTGTCTGAGACGATCGAAGCTGGAAACACATGTAAGCAATAAACTTCGCGAAAACGGAGAAGAGCGACATTAACCGCATCAGACGTCATTTTACATGCAATAAAATGGGCCATCTTGGAGAATCTTCCGACCACGGCAAACTGAGGACAAAATCCATACTTAAACCGGTCCATGGTTGAGTTGGAATGGGAAGAGGAAGATAAAGTCCCGCATTCGATGCTTTTATTTTCGATTCTTGACAAAAATTGCACCGTTCAAAAAATCGTTCAATGTCTCGTCGCAGAGAAGGCCAGAAGTATGACGAAGTGACCAAGTGGAGAGTACGATCTCTACCTACGTGCCCCTCAGTGTGAAGCTCATGAATGATCTCATGGAGAAGGCTGCAATCAGGCATGCACAAGCGGACTCCTTTCAAAAGAAAACCGTCCTGGATAGTATAATCGCCATTCCCCGCCTGTGCTGTCTCGTTAAATACACGAGAGAAAAATGGATCGGATGGATAAAGGTCAGCAAACGACGCAAAACCCTTGAGGGAAGTATACATCGTTGTCGATAGTCCATGACGTCGGCTAAGTGCATCCGCGACGCGGTTAGTCTTTCCCGATTGGTGGCGAATTGAAAAGGTGAATTGTTGTAGATAAGAGATCCATCCTGCATGGCGTGCTGAAACTTTAGCTTGGCTATCCAAATGCCGTAGTGCATCATGATCTGTAAACAAGATGAATTCCTGGTGAACAAGGTAGTGACGCCAATGTTTGATTGTTTGGACAATGGCGTAGAATTCAACGTCATAAGTACTATAATGACCCCTCGCGCCTGCTAGTTTTTCACTGTAAAAAGCGACATGTCGTCCAAGTTGGCTTAACACGGCACCGATCCCGAGTTTTGAGGGATCACAATGTAACTCAAAAGCGATGGAAAATTCTGGCAAGACTAAAATTGGTGCTGAAGTTAACTTTTCTTTGATGAGAAGAAAAGCCTTTGCTGCCTCTGTCGTCCACGTAAATCGTACCTCACGCATACAACTTGTGATCGGGGCCATTAACATGCTAAAATGGTTGATGAAACGTCGATAGAATGAAGCTGGGCCGTAAAAACTGCGTACCTCAGAGATGGTTGTCGGAGTAGGCCACGACTTAATTGCTTCTATCTTTGAGTGATCCACGGCTAACCCCTTACCAGAGACCACATAACCAAGAAACAGAACCAATGTGACGACGAACTCGCACTTTTGTTTTGCTGCGTACAACTACTCTGAATGAAGGACCGTAAGGACTTGGGGCAGCTGTTCCTCATGATCAGGTAACGAGGAGCTGAAGATAAGTATATCATCAAAATATACGACGAAAAAACGCATGATGAACGGCCGGAGTGCTTGATTCATGATCCTCATAAATGTACTTGGTGCATTAGATAACCCAAAAGGCATAACCATCCACTCAAACAGGCCTTCTCTGGTTTTAAATGCCGTCTTCCATTCATCGCGTGGTCGGATACAGATTTGGTGATACTCGCTATTGAGATTGATTTTTGAAAAAAAAATTTTGGGGCCTCTATTTGGTCCAATAGGTCATCCAAGTGTGGTATCGGAAACCTGTATCTCACGGTAATCTTGTTGATTGCGCGGCTATCAACGCACATACGCCAAGAACCATCTTTTTGGAATTAAGAGTGCTGGTATGGCGCACGGACTGAGACTTTCTTTGATATGTCCTTTACACAGAAGATCCTCGGCTTGGCAACACAATTCTTCATGCTCAAGTGGACTCATAAGAGAGTTTTGTCTGTTTGATAGCGTTACGCCAGGAACCAGGTCTATTTGATGTTGAATATCACGAAGTGGAGGAAGCCAGATTGGTAATTCGTCTGGGAAGACATCCACAAAGTCAGTTAGAACCTTGATTACGGATGGTGGTGATGTTGTGACTGACAGACGCTGCAATCTTTTGGTTGTTCCAAAGAAAGCTGTAAGTGTTCTTTTCGCCATCATGAATAATTTTTTGATTATTTTCTCATGATCGGCCAAGGAGAAGATGATAGAAATCGATTGCCACGACATCACAGTAAAGCTTATCTTGATAGTGTGAGCCTAATGAGAAAGGAACAATTGCACTTTGTGTGATGCGAATGGTTGTCTTATCATTTATCCATCCCAAAGAGTAAGGTGCCGGATGTTTTTCCTGAGTAATGCCTAGTTTCTCCACGGCTTCCTCGGGGACAACGTTGCGACAACTTCCTGAATCATATACAAAGCTACAGACGCGTCCCAATATGGTACAACTAGAACGGAAGATGTTAGTGCAAAGCCAACGGTCATCTTTCCGGATTGGTGTAAGGCAAGAACGTCGTATGACGAGTGAACGACCCATGTCGCCTGCGGTGGGGTGTACCGCATCCGTGTATGGGTCATCCTCTTCTTGTGAGTCATAAACCTCTTGGTCATTAACCGAATCATCAAGTACGAGGCCTCGACGATTAGCATGCGAAAATCCGTTTGTCTATGCCCTTGTTCTCCGCAAGAGAAACAACGCAAAGCATTACGTCTTGTTGAACGGTGAACTTGTTGCTCTTCTTGAGTGGCAGGTGTACTTGTAGAATTTGCAGCATCGGAGGTGTCTTTTGTGGACGTGGTCGGAGTGATCCCTCCTTCCTGATCTTGCATTCGGGATCGAGATGAAGAAGAGTTCCAGGTTGATGATTTTGATTGCTGTCCGAACGAAGCCGCGCGTCAGGTGAGCCTTGCCAATGGTGGTTGGATCGAGTTGTGCCATGGATGTCTAAAGATGAGGCCGTAAACCACCAATGAAACGTGAAACCAGCTGGATTTGACTGACATTGATCTCGTTCCGTGTTAACAATAGAGCGAACTCCTCTGCGTATTCGTCCACGCTACGATTACCTTGACGGAGATTTTGCAACTTTGTATAAATTGTGCGTTCATAATTATGTGGTAAGAACGTCTGCCAAAGATGTTTTGTCAACTTGTCCCATGATTAAATTGGTGCTTTGCCAGAGCGAGAACGAGTTGTTTTCAGCTGCTTCCAACAAGTTGCAGCATGACCCCTAAATTGCATAGCGACCAATGGAACACGACGGTTTGGCGGAACTTGTTTGAACTCAAGAATTTCCTCGACTGAAATTAACCAATCAACGAGATCGTCTCCCCGAAGACCACCATGGAATTCTAGGACATCTACCTTAAAACTATTTTCCCATCGGGTATTATAGTTATCATGACGTTGTAGGTCCTGAAAATAGACTTGTCGATGAAGCTCTTCCTCATCATCGAAATGAGTTGGTTGTGCTCTATCGCCGTCTCTCGGAATATATCTTCGTTGTTGATGATGATGTTGACGTTGAGGTAATTGTTGTTGGTGTTGAAACGGGAATTGGTGGCGAGCGGGTGGAACGATGTCATCAAGTTGAGGTCGATTTGGTGGGGGTGGAGCACGAGCAATCGGTTGGATTTGAGGGTCCACACGAGCTGATTGTGCAATTTTCAAAGCTTCGATACGGGTTGCTAACGTACCCACTGTATCGCCGAGTTGCTGGATAGAAGCTTGAGTAGCAGTTTGCATCTCAGTTAGGGTTTGTAACTCAGCCTGATCCGGTGTGGTTTCGTCGGGGTTGTGATCCCGATTATCACCGCCAACACCTCATGTTTTCTTAACCATTGAAAACACGAAGTTTTTTCCCAAAACGTTCTGATTCTGATACCAACTGATAGAGAGAGCGGAAGCTAGAAGAGTCAAAGATCAAGGGTTTGACCTCAAACTGTATAGCTTGTTGACGAAGGTAGCTTCGAAAACAAGGGTCTTGGCGCAAATACTCTTCGCAGTGCTTATTTAAAGCTCTTATGGTTGTGAATACTCTTCACAGTTCTTGTTTAGAAGCTCTTAAGAAAACTGAATAAATTGTACTAATCGAATTGTGTTTTAAACAAATAGCATAGGTGTCTTTATATAAGACATGAAAACAAAGCACTAATAGAATAATATCCTAAACTCCTAAGTAAAACTAGAACACGTATCATAAGTAAAAAGGAAATAGAAAACAGTAATGACGGTGCGCTGCATCAATCTCCAACCCTATTGCATAATTTTACTCTAAAATGGAGTGGAAATGGAGTAGTGAACAAACAAAAAAAGTCATTACTCCATTTATAGAGTAATCACTTTTTCGTTTGTTCATTACTCTATTTCTCACTCTATTTTGCAGTAAATTTATGGAGTGTAGTTGGAGATACTCTTAGTAAATTAGATTAAGAGTATAAATCACCAGTAGTTTATTTTTGTTAATGACCATAATATTTTTTTGAATGAATGTTAACTACATCGATCTTTGGGTTCACCTCATAAAAGCTTACTTGATTAGCTTCTATGAGAGTTTGGCTTGCAACAGCTTATAAAATACGTATTAAATCGAATATAATAGCGTTGGTTAAAATTTAGATTTGTAATGAGTAAATATTTTTGGGAAAATCGCATAAAATACCCCCAAGGTGGCTACCACTAGCACTTTAAACCTTGAGGGTATTTCACAATCAGTTTAAACATCGAAGGTGGTTTATTTAGCATATAAAACTTCCAACTTGGCTATTTTCTTCGCACTGGTAGTTTCTTAAATGGAATAGTTAACCCCGTTAACAGCACAGTCGACTCCGTTATCGGAACTATATCCCTCCGTTTTCTTTAAAATCTGTCGTTTTGAAAGAGCAAAAACGACATCACTTTTTGTTTAATGAATTTCACACGTGGGATTTAAAAACTAAAATCGATTTGAGGAAAACAATTAGGGTTATTCGGTGTGACAGAGAAACAAAGAGAAAGATCAAAACAGAGATAGAGATTGAAGAAGACAAGAACATGTATGGTTCCACTTAACTGATATGAAATTTTTGAGTTATAATTGGGTGTCTAAACACTCTTTTGTTGTACAGATGGCTCACAGTGCAAGCTCTTCAAACATGGGATACAAAAATGAGAAAGGGGTTTTGTGTAACTGCAAGACGCTAGCACAGGTTGTACAAGCTTGGACAGATGACAACCTAGGACGAAGATTCTACTCTTGCAAAGGACGAATGGTTAATCATGGGTATGAATCTTGTAATTTTTTTCGTTGGTATGATGATGTTGAGAGCCCACATGGATGGCAACATCTAGCATTGTTGGAGGCGAGAGAAAAAATGTGTGCCTAGAAAGAGGAGATTGACCGGTTGAAGGATTCTGTTACGGCACTGACTCATTATAGAGGACGACAACAGGAGATTCCGAGCTTGGTAATGGATGACTTCAAGGTCAGTCGCGAAGAATGTGAAGCCAGTCGTGAAGAATGTGAGGCACTTAAGCGTGAAGTGTTGATACTAGGCGAGAGGAGCAGAGTGTTTCAAAATGTGCTAATACCATCGACCTTTGGATTTGTTGTGGTTCTTGGAGTCATGGTTGTGATGGGCAGAAAGTAGAGTTTGAATGAAGATGGTGTCGATGGATTGTTGTTTTTAATTTCGGCAGTGGGAGTTTGTTTTTGTTTATGTATTGGTAAAACGATGCTTTTGTTTATCTATCTAGTTGTGTTAGTTGTTGAACCTTTCGTAATGTTATACAATCTATGTTACATTTGTTAGTTTGGCTTGGTTAAATTTGATGGCAACACAAAGGAACAACAGAATTTCATAAAGATAGAGGTCCACAAAAGAACGTACATTAGATAAGTTTAAGTTGCAACAAGATAAAATACAAAAGCATGAGATAAGTTTAAGTTCAAAAGCATAATAAGATAAGTTCAGATAATAGTAGATAGAGAGATTATTGTGATGGTTCTGGACGGACTGATGTATCATAAGCTCTGTTGTTTATGACCTCGAAAACTCGATCCGTGTATGGACATTGGAGTATTCCCACACTTCTTGGAATTGGACCAGTTTTTGTTATTTTGAGTGGTCGTCCACATTTGGCTTTATTCACTTGCGGAACTGATGAACTAGCATGTTCAGGTGCACTAGATGCTGCAGGAAACTCAGAGGCTGATTCACCAGCTGGTACTGGCTGCGAACTGCTCACACTAGATGGTGTTTTTCTCTTCCTAGGCTTTGTTGGTCGTTTTGGTACCTAAAAAGAAAAAAAAAAGATACTCAAAGCTTAAACCATTATTATAGAACATACATTTTCATAGAACAACAACTTACCTCAGTTAAAGCTTTACATGGTCGTCCTCTTCTGTTTTTTGGACCTTCAACTGTAACTTTTTCATTCTTACAACTGCTTTTGATATGTCCGACTTGTAAACAATTGCTGCAACGGAGGGTTCTTCCATATCTTGTAGCCTTTCCCGGGTTTTGAAGATCCTCAAATGGTTCCTTTCGTATGTCACGAAGCTCTGGCTTTCGAAAATTTGGGATTCCCACTGGTGTTTTCCATGTCTTCTTCCATAGCTTCTCACCATTTACAGGCTTAATATTCTCAGCATATGTCTCTTTCGTGACACTTGCGTGGTAATACCCAGTAACATATTTCACAGGATCATCTTTATTGTCATCAAGCACACAAATGGCATGCTTGCATGGTATACCTGTCAATCAAACTTAACAAATCAATAAGCCAGAAAGACTAATTTTCTTAAAAAACATTTTAAAACCACTAACATGTTAGATCCCACCGCCTACAAGCACACTTTTGTGTTGAAAGGCTAACTTTGTAGCCATGATCGAACTCATTCACTTCATATAAAGTGGAAGAACTTCTTATTGTGGAGCAATATTTGTTATCAACTCTTGATTTCTTTAAAAGCGCCATAGTGCTTGGTGTTAGGATGGTATTACACATCTATGCTTTAAGATATCTTCTCGCAATCCGCCTCATAGCTTGTCGTCGAATATCTTCTAACAAACAATTAACAGACTTTGGTCTCGCTATCTTTATTATCCTGTTGAAGCTTTCTGATAAGTTGTTGTGGACATCATGGCATTGAGATTCAGTAGAGAAGTATGCTTTACACCACTTTTCCGGCTCAGTATTTAATAGTGAAGCATGAGCTGCATGATCAAATGCTTCAACCATCGCCATCTTCTCATCATATTCACCAGTGTTGTAGCTGTAAGCGACTCCCCAGAAAAAGTTTTTGTACTCAGACCTTGAGAATGACTTCTTCCAATTACTGTATATATGGCGAGCACACATCATGTGTTCAGAATTAGGCAGCTCTTTCCCTACTGCAATAACAAGACCCTTTTGCTTATCAAAAATGACAGTGTATTTATCCCCTGAACCCAAGCCGAGGTCCGCCTTCAGCTTCTTTATAAACAATCCCCAAGTGTCTTTGTTTTCTCTTTGAACAACTGCTCATGCGATGGGATACATCCTATTATCGGCATCTCTACCAACAGCAGAGATTAAATCTCCATTCAATTCCCACTTCAAGAAGCATCCGTCTAATCCAATAACTGGTCTACAACATTTCTTCCAAGTCTCACAAAATTCTCGAAAACATATGTAGAAGCTGTCAAACTGGGGGACACCATTTACATCGTTAGTGTTAAGCTCTGTGATGATACCTTCATGTGTTCTTTGTAGCTCAGCCTCATAATCCCATAGCTTTCCAAACTGTATCGCATGTGCTTCTAGTATCGAATCAAGTGCAATTTTTTTTCCTCTGTAGCACTTTGAAAGAGGTACAACAATGTGATACTTTTCCTTTATGATGTCTTTAATCTCTGATGCTTGCAGGCTAACATTCCTTCTTATCTCTTCTCTGAATAGTCCTGCAATCACACCTTGTTTTAGCATTGAGACACGGCTTGTTTTCTCATGGTTATGCTCGTAGTGACACAGTTTGACCATCCATTTGTTAATAGGTACTTCGATTGAACAAAAAAACCTCCAAGAACATTTCTCAGCACAACAAACAGATGCTATTCTACTTGCTTCAGACTTGGCCATCTTAACATCATATTGTGTGTTAAGAGAATACCGAAGCAACTAATCCTTAAACTGTAGTCCACTACCAAACTTCTGAAACAGCCAAATGTAGGGTTCTTTATCGAAAGAGCCATGAAACTTGATTTTTCCTTTGGACTTTTTTTTACACATCTACTGATCCCACTCCTCTTCTGATTTTAGTGGCGTATCAGGATATTTTACATCCCCTAATCTATCTTCTTCCTCACTTTCTGCTGCTTCCCTATCTTGTTCTCCATTTTCTTCGCTAGCTCTCATGTGGGATGCCATACACTCAGCAGAAGTCTTTGCACCTTCTTCAAATACTCTCTTAAACCTGACATCGTTACTACCATCCCCTGCGTCTAACACAACATCATCTCCATCATCATTCTGATTTGCATTCAAGTTTTCTTGCTCCACTTCTTCTTCAGCTATTGGGTTTTCATCAACGGATTGCTCACCTTCAACATCTTCTCTCGGTAAATTTAGACAGTCCTCATCACTATCAGCTTCCCTTTCAGGCTCATATCCACCATCATTCTCAGCATCTCAATCTTGGTACTATGTTTCTTCCTCTCGCTGGCTACTTGCAATGAGACATGTAGATATTGGCGAGGGAGATGAGCATTCATGCTCCACAAAGACATCGATTTCACCACATCCTTTTCCTGTGGTTTGTAGCTCAACCATATCATCACTGTTCGTATCAAATACATACTTCAAATTCTTCATCTCCTCTTCTGGAAGTTTATACCAAATCAGAGCAATTGGTGCCATAATTTTCTCCTCCAACATGATTGCTTCAAATTTCTCCCATCCTAACTCATATATCTTCAAAATTTTCTGCTTAAATCCTAGTTCTCCAACATAGTTGTAACTACCATCATTCGTCTTCACCATATTCCCACCGAAAGGGATATTAATTTTATAAGTATGTTTGAACCTATAAATGCAT